TACGTATTGTTTTGCAAAATAGGGTTGACAAAGATGATTTATATGCAGAATTTCTGTATGGTTCTCTCAAATGCAAATATTTCTTGGCATAATATTGAATCAGCATCTTATAAAAGTAGATTGGATATCTTCTGTTTTTTTACTGACATGATTTCAATTTTATGCATTAAAGTAAGATGAGCAATGGTTACAATTACAAGAACAGATTGCTATTATAGAACCAGTATCTCATTGGATATACCACTATACTATGATTCAGAAAAGTGCCAAGGTTTAAGCTCAAGCAAAGCCTTTTTCTCTTTCGTGTTATCCACGCACGTTATTGGAGAATCCTCTCCAATTTTTAAAGTTATTTTTCACTTAGAAATCTTCTGAATTAGCTTAAAAGCGAGCAGTCACGAGCTATAGTTGAGCACTATAGTAAACTATCACTATTTTCACCTTCTTAATGCTCATCAAGTCTCATTTCTAGAGAGTTTACTGTCCTAAAACATTAAGGACTATGCTAATTCAAACCTGCTCCTCACGATGAAAAAATTATTTCTCAAGAATAAACCGTACAGTCCTGAAGCCCTCGCTGTACTTAAAGTATCACCTAACAGCAGCTGGACTTATCGCAATATTTAATGGTGATTTTATCTAGCTATAAAAATGTTAAGTGCATGTTTTTATTATTTAAATACAACTAGTTAATGTATGTGCATGTTTTTATTATTTAAATATAATTAGTTCTTTATAACTGTTATATGCGTAGTTTTGTTGGTATGGTAGATCGGCTTCTACACGTTAGTTGCTCAACACTCGAATCTCTGGTGATGCACAAAGCTTATTTCACTGCGTTTCTACTCTCTACAGGTGCAGTATTGGTCTACTAATTCATGTACGTTGTACTTCTCGCTTCCAAGAGAAATGCAATCTGCGTATAACCAAATATGTCGAATGCCTAATCAGCAAATGTGGTCGTTAAAAAAGTAAATGTCTGTTACAATATTATTTGTGGGTCAATGTCACATTTTAAATATATGTTATCAAAATATCGTTACTTTCTTTCAAATGTTTTTCTAGAACTAAATAAGCGTAGTTTCAAAAGCTCATATTAATCTAAAAGTATAAGGAAAAAAAGAAAATATCAATAAACTTGATTACTGATTACGGCACCAATTCATTTTTTATATGTTCAAAATTTAAAGCAATTAACAAATAAAAAACTGAAAAGGTAAGTTAAAATTATTAACATGTAGAAAAACAATTTTCGCAAAATTGTTTTGCATTTTAAATTTGCGTTTACAGTGAAAGATGGCTTTTGGGCTTCGATTTTTATTTATCTTTCTTATATTTGTTAAAACAGCCCTTCTTAAATTTTAAGCGAATGTGCATTAATTTCTAATAAGCCATAATTTATGCAGCTGTCTTTACTTATTTTCTTACGCTATATTTAAGGGCTAGCACAGTATTCACAGCAGGACCTACATCATAATTACTACAGAGGTCCATATATTCTCTCTACGGCACGGCACAAAGGAATAATATTCATGCTCGATACTTAATTCCATAGTTATCTCATTAATACGTGCATACATATTCTTCTTTTTAATAACATACTAATGTGCATCAAACTTAGTTTCATGCCATAAATAGTAAGAATAATTTTCAATTATTGCTAATGCAATATTTCTTTTGCTACTTATTTGAAGATGAGAGATAAAATTGGGATGTTAGAAATTTACATTCAAGACAATCGCGTCTGATTACTTATGTTTATAATATGCACATTAATAGTCAGAACGTACGATATTAGAGCAATGATTCCGCTGAACACTGGTAATTTCACCTGGATCCGATTCAGGCGAATGAGCTGGTTGCATGGGAGTTTTCGTAGTTTTTCCCATGCTTAACGTAGATATTAGCCAGTTTCCCGTAGAAAGCCCGTCATGAAAGCATCTCTTCCCTTAGGCAGATAGCTCTCGAGTGCTTTGCCATAATCAAATAAACCAGATCACTTAAAGTACAGCATACAGGTGGGAGTTCAGTGGCTAAACTGAAAAAGCAGATGATGCAGATCTCCGAAGGAAAAAAGAGGGCGAATTTTGAGGGACAAAAAAAGCTCCGATCTAAAAAGTGTTTTCCAGTATAAGCTTCCTTTAAAATTAGAACAAAAAAAAAAAAAAAAAAAAAAGCAAACTTTTATTTGCTTTCAAAATAATAAAAAATCATGTCAAATTTATGTTGCTTTTTTCCATAATTTAAAATTTTACTGTTATGTATTTTGCTTTCAAATTAATAAACTTCCTTTTTCAAAAATAATATGCTTGGTGTTCAATGAAGGAAGATTTGAAAAAGTGTTTCTTGCGTTGTTTGTCTTAGATCTATGGCTTTAATATAAGTAATGGGTCAAATAGGTAATTTTTCAGTTTATGACAATTTTAGTACGTAACAGGTTGTAGCAAATATATGTGAAATTAAAATTTTTCACCCGTCCCTTGTGCGAAGGAAATTAATGTAAGCAAATCGTTCCACATATTACTAAAAATCTTTTAAAACGAATTGATTCCGTAACAGAAAAAAGTGAGCTCGAAAAAAAAAATAGCAGAAATATAAAACTTAAAACTAATCTCACTTGATGAAACCAAAGAAGGACAAAAAAGTCAGTTTCAGGCACTGTAAAAACCTAACTGTGTTAGATAAAACCTGCCATTTTTAGGATTTCTACATATGAGAATTTGAAGCTAGACTTATACAAGGATACGTATACATTCTTAAAATAAAAAGTATCCTTCAGAAACCTCAGAGCAAAAACTTGGCTGTGTTTAACAAAGGTATTTGATAAGTAATTTTTTTTAAATGGCCGTACGCTTTATGAAAGGTAAATTTTAACTAGATATCGAAGGTGATTTGATCGCAGGAGAATAGAGTATTTTTAATTGATTAATTGAACTATAATGAATACTTTTGTCATTGCACATTTTTTTTTTTTCCTATGAGGCCAGAGTAAAAATTTAAAATCCTCGCATTTTTATAAAATTATCACGCGACCAAATTTTCCATGGTCTCATTTGAGTTGTTCTGATGCAGAAGCGCAGCTTTAAGAGTAATCTCTTAAGAGATATATTTTCCCTCCTTACCGCGTGCCTTCGTGGTGCAATTAGATAGCACGTCCGTCTGGCAGGTGGGAAGGTCCGGAATTCGAATGACCCGTAAAGTCATTAGTTTTTCTGAAGCAGGAAACATGAAAAAATGAGCGGTCCTCTCGCCGGGATTTGAACTCCGGACCTTCCGATTGCTATCCGGACGTGTTTTCTAATTACACCACTTATGCACGAGGTAAGAAGGGAGAAAATACTTTAATTATCTAGTCATGCAATCGGTTTTAAACAATCAATCCATTGCACTGGAGATGTACAGCTTTTAAATTTTCAAAAGCAATTTATAAGAATGATCAACAAAAAAGACCTTGTTAAAGAGGGAAAAAATATTTAAAAAAAGTCCTTGAGTCTCTTATTTCGCAAGAGGAAATCCTTCCCTGCACATCTTTCAGATCACACATTAAAACCTATGATATAAATAAAAGTTAACTATTTGGAACTTGGACTTAAATTTTAGGTACTGCTCTTGAAATAAAAGACGCTTTATTACTTAAATTTTAAAACCAGTTTAGATTATTTCAAGTTAACAATGGAAACAATTTTTCTCTTGATAAAGAAATTTTACACCAACGAAGTTATTATTCGTAAGCACATACAACGAAATATTCTTAAATATTAAATTAATCATTATTTTTCCTTATTTCTTTTTCAGCTACATTTTCATTTGCATTTAGCCTATTATTTGGTTATAGTGTATATATATATATATATATATATATATAGCTTTTTATATGTATAAATAATCTTATCAGCTTAAAGGAGGGTTAACCACAGAAGGGCTATTAGTCTGTAAACGGCATTTTGCTTCGGCTCACTATAAACGGCGTATCACATTTTAAATTGTTGCCACCAAATATTATCGCCTTGTATTATATTTAAAAAAAGTAAATAATGAGGAATCTGCATGAATATATGTATGTTTCTCGCACTGTGAAAAAACCATCAAATTTTGAATTACTTAATCCTGTATTGGAACAGGGTTACCTGGAAGCCCGAATTTTGAACTTCGAATTTGTTCTATTATCTATTTCCTATTTTGGAAAACTTTAAAACGAATTTTGGATTAACAAACTCAACGATTTCAAAGCCAACAATGGCAACACTGTACGAAAAAAAAATTACATTTTAATCTCCTGCGCGCGAGACTCTCTATCGGAAATTTTAAAGGTCTTCTTCTCTTAAATATTTTGTGATATTGCTATTGAACTGAATTTTATTTGGTTTAAGTGCGAAGTACATGATATTTAATAAATAAAGGTAACGCACAAAACATTAAAAAATGCCCCTTTAGGCGTAATGTAAAATTTGAAAGTTTTCAGATTTTTTTATTATTATTGTTTGTTTTTATTTGTACTTTAATTTTTACAAATGGAAAAGAAAACCTCCTGTTGATGTTGAGATGTTGTATCCCAATTTGATATTTTCGATTTTCAATAATGTTTCGATACAATTTTTAAATTCGTCTCTTTTTAACGCTTTATATTAGTATTCATTTCCTTGAATGCCAAAGAAAAGTATAATTTAGCTAATGTATTTTATAGCTTGCTTCATTTACATTTTAAAACAGTTGAATACCTTTTCCGTGTAGCATTGAACAAGAAAGACTCTTAAACAAATGGCAGTTTATATTAATAAAGATACAAAGAGCTGTAATTTATGTTAAACTATGCGTTAAAATTGCACAGTGCGGTATAACTCACTTATACTCTTAACTACTTTAAATTACTTTTGCTGTGTAATGTAACGCATCATTCCTTTCGTGCAGGCAGCAACATTACTGATGACGTCATTGACATCGATCCAGAGCATGCGCTGTATTACATCGAGTCAGGTGGAATCAATCGCTAAAAGCGAAAAGAGAGTATCCAGGTGTGTCCAATACTTCCTCCGATCCAAAACAATCCAAAACGCGAATCGAGTCCATAATAGTCAAATTTAAACTGAAAAACAAACGTCTCTTTTCTTCCACTTTGGTGGATGGATCAAACCAGGTGAGAATTTTTTTTTAAAGTTTTTCGCCCTTTCCCCGGAATCATTTAATTGTCTCCGATACAGATCGGCACATGCTTTCCAAGCTTTGTTTACGTTTTAGTAGTTATTCCTAAGAACAGAAATGTATGTATTGAAAATGTGGTAAGAATACCGAAGGCATTTATTTAATCATATTTTTCCTTAATAATTGTATAGACTAAAGAGGTGTCTAACTTTATTTTATTTCCTTTTTTACTTTGAAAAAAAATTTAAAAACGAATTTTAATCATTCTTTTTGCGGGTTTCGAGAAATAAAATCAAAAAAAAATAATAATAACATTCCTTTCTTAAATTAAAAGAGAGAGAAAAAGTCAAGAATTGTATTTAATAGATTTTTATGTTTCTTTTTACATTTTGTGATAACGAAGTGATAAGGCAGTTGGAGAGAGCAGGAAAGACACATTGTAGATCATGCATTAAGCAAACCATCTAACTGGTGTAAAAGGGTCTGAAGCAGTCTAAATAGAAAATAAATTAATTAAAAATTTAAAAATGTAATTAACAATGTTAAAGAATTCATTGCTGTAAGATTAATATATTAAATGAAATGGTTGAGAGGCTTTGTTCTCTTGTGATTATTAAAGAGAGCTGTCAGAAATTGCTGTATCATTTCTATCTCGTGAGTTTACACGCAGAGAAAGATAGAAGGTTGATACTGGAATTTTAAATTTAAATCATGAGATTTTTGTAGCGTAGTCTCTGCAAACGAAATATAAGTTGTCTTACGAACGTTGATCATTTGGCCCTATAATTGTTATGAATTAATACTTTCCCTTCTATTAATTTATATTTTTATGTGGGCTAAATTTGTCGAATATTATGCTATAATACACCGACATCAAAATTTATGCTTAATTTCAATAATGCATTCTTATTCCAATGTAATAGCTATATTACATATGGAAGAGACACACGAGAATATCAAAATTATAAAATTGAGGAAATATCAGTCTTAGGCTGGAGGTGAATTTGCTGGAAACTGCCAATTTTAAGGGAGTCATGCATGAGGTTCCGTTTCTTCAAAGACCTTCAGTGTTGCCTACGTGCTTTTGCGCCTTGAAGAAGAAAAACCTTCTAACTGACTCCCTCGAAATCGACAAAGTAACTAGATATGAACGCCTTTTTGCCTAACTTTACGTTAATCGATATATCATATTTATATTAATTCATCTTCTTTGTATTTAATCTAAATTTATTTATAAATATGCATTTATACTATAAAATTCCTAAAGAACTTCCTTAAATTTAGTCATACTTAGTTATAATTCCTAAAGAACTTCCTGAAATTTAGTCATAATTAGTCATTTATATTTTTAATTAGTTTGAAAGCAATAGAATTTATCTAAATTTCGTACTAGGGAGGAAAATTAATTTCGCATTTGAAGTAATAACTTCTGAATTGTGTTACATTAGAATAAAGAAGGATAGGTATATGTTATGCGTTTGTTTAGTGAGCATTTGAACTGCTAAAAAATTAAGGTATTAAGATTTAAAAAAAAAAACTGAGATTATTTTGGGCTAGATTTTTCTAGCCAAAAGAAATACATCTTGCGCTTCCCATAAATACCAATTTTTTTAATGTTAAATTTTAACCATTTTTTAAAATAGATTTAAATTTATAAATTTTTATTTTTAGTTGAAATATAACTCTCCTAATTTTTTTCTTTTCCCTTTTATATTTAATAGTGATGTCTGAAACTGTTATGGGTGTATAGAGCCATATTATGTGCTGGTAATAATTTTAAAGCACTATTTCTGGTGCATTATCTTTTTTAAGTGAAACAGAGCAGATGAAATATCTTGTATGATTAATCTTATTCTTTCTCAAACAACTAAAAGACAGAATTTCTTTGAATTTTGAGCTCTTGAGTTATAATCAATTTCAGCCCAGCCTTGAACTTCTCTGTTTCGTTTCTACAAAAGTGAGAGTTTCAGATGTAATAATAAGTTTAGCTTCCCTTTTGAAATGCCAGTTACCTATTTACACTTTATTGATTAAAGTAGAATTTTAAGTGCCTTTAAGACCTGAAAAGATACACGACAATAATGATCTTTGTTTGCAAATTGACCTAACATAAAATATTGATAGTTTATTAAGAAATATATAAAACTTTCATAGAATAAAATAAACTATCTTCTCGGATAAGATTTGATTTGGATGACAGTAAATTTCGTGACAGGTCTCTTAAAGTATAGCAAATTACTGTCGATAAGTAACAGGCCTTTTAGTTTGTAGATTTTCGTTCTAGTTGGAAGCAGTAGTGAGCTGTGGCGACTTCGCAAGGGCTTGCACGAGACCTTTGTTAAATTTATCTCTTATCTGGGAGTCCCTGTTTCTTTTCTTTTTCGGGTTTTTTTATTATTTATTTCCTTTAAAAATAAATAAAAATATATGAATAAAAGAAAAGGAAAAAAAGAGAAACATGCTTGTGTGTTATAATTGTTCTTACATTTGTATTTCTCTTCTTAAAAATTAGGGTCTGGTCTGGTTTCGTTTAAGCTCGATCAAACGCTTTCTAAAGCGTAAAAAACTTTAAATAGCTGCTGGAAAATGCCGTTTGTTCAGTCATTTAGTTTCCTGTTAAAAGACAGACTATACAAGATTTTCTTTGACTGTATAATATATTTTAGATTTAATGGCAGTCTTCTTAAGGGTTAAATAATTAACAGAATTTGATCTTAAACCTTATATAAAAATACTTTGAAAAATCATGTCTCGGCCTTACAGCCTTTTAGAAGATCAACAGAGGTGAATAAAGAAGAAAATATGTGGCTTTTTCTGGTATAAATGGAGCCACAGAGTAAAATTTATTCATTATTTTATGCTATTTCTGTGATATTTTGTGATTCTTTATTTTTAAAAATATTTTAAGACTTTTTTCTCTTAAATTTAAAAATGTTTCTTCGTCATGCACAACTTTTTTGTGTTTCCTATTTTTACTTACATAAAGTAATTAATTAGAATATTGTATTTTGTTTTTATAAGATAAAGTGCTAGCCATTTGTTACAATTTTATAGCTCTTCACTGCTTGTAAGCCACCAGGAGTGGACAATTAAAAATTATTTATTTTTATATCTCTGCTTATATAAGTTGATGGTAATCAAAGCAATAACCCGTTTACAATCAGGAAGTAACTGTTAGTGATAGACTGTTAGATGAATATATTATTTTCAGACCAAATAAGCACTAAAGTTACAACTTCACTAATTCTAGACACAACAGCTTTACCTTAAAAACAATTTCTTTACTTGAAATAATTTTGACATACTAACTTTTGTACGTGGGACAGGGTGACAGTTCTCAGAATTTTAATGCGGAAAAACTATTTCTTTTTTCTAAACGAAAATATTCAGTATCTCATAAAAGATTCAAATATCTGAGAATTATAAAAATGTATAGCTTCGCAATCAAAAGAGGAAATACGATCTTTATAGTTTTCTGAAATCCGAGCCCTTCAGAATTGCTTCAAATGCATTTTCATATCTTTTTGTGAGATGTCGAAAGTCATCATCAGTTTTCTTCACCTTCATCACTTGCGTTATCCCGTTTCTAAAATAAGAAAACCCATTGGACGCTCGAGAATCATGATGCTATCATTAATCTCATGACATACGTCTTCGCAAATAACAGCATTACCTTCAAATATTTCTAAATATTTTCCGAATTTTAACTGTCAGTTAGTTCTTTTCTCCTCGAGGCTATGAAAAGGAAACACTGAGTACTAGAATGGAATAATTCATTTGAAATATTTCTCTTTTATAAAGCGGAAAATTACTGATTATAAACGATAGATAAACGATTGTTCTAGATAAAAAGTAATATTTAAAATTAAACTACTTAAAGAAGTTTCTTTAATTTAAAGACTAATAATCCTTTCAATCATTATTTTGCATGCGAATTCGTCTTGCTGAAATATTAACAAACAGATCTTTAAAGAAGAAAAAGAAGAAAAGCAGAAATTTTTCATTTGTATTTTGTGATATTTATTTCGGCACATAATTAATACAATAAAAATACACATAATTAAAATAATTATGTGCATTTTAGTTTGAAGTTTACGGTGATATTATGAACTTGAATATGGGCATTTTCCACGTTCAGAGAACTCCGAAGATATGAGTCGCTTTGAAAACTTTGAGGTATTACTGGAAGGAATTGTTCGATATCCATCGAAAACATAAAGAGCAATGTATTTGTACTGTAACAGTCATGGAATACATGCATATTAATACAAAATATTCTTCGATTTTATGCTTGTAAAAAGGTGGTGCAGTTAAATCCAGGTTAATTCCAGCATGATTTAAGGGACCGTAATAGTTATATTGCATATTGAAGTTTTGTTCTGGTTATTTTATTTTAAAAGTTATTTTTAAGAACTCATAAACTCTTATCTCATTTTCGTAGTTATTGCATAGTCTTTTATTAGTATTAAAACTTCGTTAACATTAAAATGGGTATTACAGTAAACTAGGAAGCAAATTAAAACAAATTTCCTGTAACTATTTTAAAATTTATGGTTACAGTCAAAATTTGAATTCTCTACTTCAGGATGAATTTACTAGATTCTTTGGCCAGAAACCCACCAACGCTTTGCTATCTCTTCACATAGCATTCTAATGTCAAATCTTTGTAATGGACATAACAATGCACACATAAATTTATTTTAAATCTATATTTTCGTTATTTTTTATTACATTTCTTTTCCGAATATATTTACTTCTTTTCAGTTTCAGTCACACAAAATTTCCTTCAATAAATCAGAACATTATTTCCTTTTTGTTTCAAAGACATTTTTAAAAGGACAAACTTTTGGGAAAAGGAAAAAAATCTGTGTATTATTTTCATTTTAGAGAAGTAGAGTTTAAACTACGAATATTTTATTTATTTTGAAAATTTTGTGTAAGTAATAGCTTATAACTGAAGACAGAATAATTTTTATTTAAAATTTAGCGCTCAGG